GCACTCGTCTATAGACCGCAGTCGCATTGCTGGGGGCGCGCGTGTTTGTGCGAGCGCTGGCCGGTAAACACGGTATTCACGCGGGCTCGAATGCCGGCGCGTGGAGTATACTGACGCCGCTTAGCGCGCTTGGCTCAGCTTTCGCGAGTGAGCTAATGGGATAACGAGAGAGAGTGTAGTGAATTTAACAACGTTTGTTCTTGATTGATTTGTTGGGTTTAACGTCCCAAAACCACCATACGATTATGAGAGACGCCGTAGTGGAGGGCTCCGGAAATTTCGACCACCCGGGGTTCTTTAACGTGCACCCAAATCTGAGCACACGGGTCTACAACATTTCCGCATCCATCGGAAATGCAGCCGCCGCAGCCGGGATTCGATCCCGCGACCTGCGGGTCAGCAGCCGAGTACCTTAGCCACTAGACCACCGCGGCGGGGCACAACGTTTGTTCTGAAACTGATTTAATTGTGTGAAAGCATGTAACTCTATGCTGTTCTCTGTTAGCCGTATTAGAAGTATGGCGGGTTCGAGTGAGTTTTCAGCGGACTGTTAATTAACCAAGGTTAACCTTTAAACATTGGGATTTTTGCAAAATACTCATGACGGTCAGGGCAAAAACAGAACGCAATACGAGTAAAGCAAAAGACCAGCCAGGCGCTCCACTGAAAATCTATTAGACAAACGGCAGATATGAGTCTTTTCTCGTATTCTGTTTTTGTTTGCGCTGCTGACCATCGTACACCTATCTGTTATTCGTTTTTTTTTCTTCTGTCTCATATCATATCATGTAATGGTTTTGGCACGTCTCTTTCTTTGTGTCCAACGCGTTTCGTCCCATTAAAATTATACGCTTGCTTTTGTTGTGATGTCCAACTTCGCTGTCGACCCGCAGCCCAAATGTGTAGCGCCAATTTAACGCACTCCACCAGGCAGCGAAGTTCTTGTGCACGTGGCGTTTACGCGATGCAGGGGTGCATGCATGTGCTGTGTTAGATAACTGCGCTCGTATGTGCAGGTACGTCGGTGAATGAGGTGATTCCGGTAGCGGAAAGAGTTGAAAGCGGCCCGAAAGGGGACTCCCATACTTTTCCTCGTATAACCTTAACTAGGAAAACAGATTCTGCTGGCAAACGCTGGCTGCCGCGCCATCTCTGCAGCAAATAATAATCCATATGTCGCTATCGATTATTATTGACATCACTTGTGCTTCACTGGCATGCACTTGTGCTTCAGCCCGTGCATGGCCTCCGCGCCCCGCCGCGGTGGTCTAGTGGCTAAGGTACTCGGCTGCTGACCCGCAGGTTGCGGGTTCGAATCCCGGCTGCGGCGGCTGCATTTCCGATGGAGGCGGAAATGTTGTAGGCCCGTGTGCTCAGATTTGGGTGCACGTTAAAGAACCCCAGGTGGTCTAAATTTCCGGAGCCCTTCACTACGGCGTCTCTCATAATCATAGAGTAGTTTTGGGACGTTAAACCCCACATATCAATCAATCATGGCCTCCGCGATCAGCTCCTGCAGCGCGCCGTCGTTCGACGGCGCGCTGCAAATGCCTCGCTAGGTCTTCATAAAAAAAAAAAAACGAGTATACTGTAGTCATGACCGTAACAAGGAATCCTTCTTTTTTTTTTTCATTATGCCCGGCGCATGCGACTTTTTCCCTAGCGGCAAAAGTCGCGAAATCTCTTTTCATCTCCGAGGCTTTGCTTCTCGCAATACTGGTGGTGCCGGCGCAATGCCACTTAGAAAAGGATTTTCAGGCTTGTTCACTGCATGCCTCTGTGACTTCTTCTCCTCTTGGCCGAGCGATGGCGCGCAGTGCAGGAGACTGTTAATACGTTGTCACTATCACCTCCCTTTAAAAGATAAAGCGTTCGCAGCGTGTTTTACGTTCGTAACAGCTTTATTCTCCCCCTTGCGTTCGGAAAGGTGCTGGTCTAAGTAATGTATTACGCCTTCAAGTCTTCGACGATTTACTCGTAAGTCATTTATTATTCCCCATAAAAGTAACAAAATATAGTGTGCTATCGAAGGTGTGGTTGATCTGTAATTGCAAAATTTTGTGGCCCAACAAAGTGACGGAATAATTAGGATAAATTCAAATAATTTTTAATTACTCAAACTCCCACACGCCCGTGCGCGCACATGCACACGCTATCTAGAAGACGCGCTGAAACACTTCTTACTCCTTTGGTACGTTTCTGCAGTTTTATTTGCTGAGTTGCCAAACACTCTCCCCAGTAACTACGTCTTTATGAAAGATTTTAAAGAGTACAATAGCACCAACTCAGCAAAGAAAACTGCAGAAACGTAGCAATATATTTACTCTTGAAAGTCTTTCATGAATACGTAGTTACTAAGGAGAGTGTTTGGCTGCTGCTGCAAGCGTGTTGTTCAGCACAATGTCAGGATGATTAGCCTAGTAATAGACATCGAAATCTTCCGCTTCGCAAAAATGTTCCTGTGATAGACAAAAGAAGAGGCAATTCTTTCTTTTGATAATGCCCCTCCCGCGCCGGGTGTGTAGTCGCTCATTCAACTTGGGGGCATTGGGAAAAAATTGTCGGCACTGTGTAAGCCGTGTAGCCACCATGGGAGCTTCGGTTCTGCCAGTTCGTGGATTGGCATATTTGGTATTGGTTCTTAAATATTCTGGCTTGGAAGTGGAGTTCCCACACTTGAAAACCATTTAAGAAAGTGCCTTACCGTAGTTGTCTGCCCCGCCGCGGTGGTCTAGTGGCTAAGGTACTCGGCTGCTGACCCGCAAGGTCGCGGGTTCAAATCCCGGCGGTGGCGGTTGCATTTTCGATGGAGGCGGAAATGTTGTAGGCCCGTGTGCTCAGATTTGGGTGCACGTTAAAGAACCCCAGGTGGTCAAAATTTCCGGAGCCCTCCACTACGGCGTCTCTCGTAATCATATGGTGGTTTTGGGACGTTAAACCCCACAACTCTATCTAATCGTAGTTGTCTACAGACATCTGAATTCGGCTGAAGTTACATCAGTGCATATTTCAAGAAATCATAATATATGCTGCCGAGACTATAGCGTAAAGTTGGAATACCGCAAAAATAGTTAGAACACCTGCAATAAGTACTGCGCACAAAAACGATGCGCTGAGCAAAGCACCTTCACTTTTTTTTTTTAACCGATAAACGGAGGTGCCCGCGGCGCTATTCGCAAATAGCGAAATGTTTACCGACCTTGAAGGGAAAAGTGCCTGTTTTGGAAACGTATACTGTCTCGCGCGTTTATCGCTTCGATGTCTAGGCTTACGCTAACAAGTGAAAAAGCACACACGACATCTCTATTTTAGAGCAAGAACGAAACAGATGTCGGATATGGTGCTATTGGAACGACTTAGAAGTGTGTAGTATACGGACATACGCTCCCCCGGGCCACAAAGAGAACGGATGTCGATTTCATCTCGACGAACGGCACACTCCCACTTCTTTCTTCGGTCTTTCTTAAAGAAAAACAAGAACACCCACACCTTCGGTCTATAGTCGCAGTGGCCGCGATGATTCGGCACACAGCACCCCTCGTGTTGTGCGCACCCAATGACCCCACACGATGGCCCCAGCCATCGTGTGGATTGGCAGCCGTATACGCTATGCGAATATCCAGTGCGCATCGCATGTCCCCGTCGCAGTTCACAGACACTCAGAAGAAGCTCGGTGCCCTTCTGTCGCCAACGAAAGCGTTCGTCAGGCTTGGCAATCCATCGCTGTCGAACGGCGTGAGCAATTGAGCTTAAGCAAGTCTGTGCAGCGAAGCACGACGGTCAAACGGAGTGACATCGGAGTGCGCGTGGCAGGAACAGTGAACGGGCCTGAAATTATCTATAGACAATTTGGCCGGCCCCTTCCAAAGCCCTACCGAAACGGCAGCTCAGGAAAGTGGGAGGAGGCTTATCTTCGAGTGCCATGGGGGTCTGATTGCGGGAACCCGTGCGGTCATCCCGAAACGCTCTTCCCTTATACGGCGTTCCAACTTTCCACGCGGCTAGCGTGTAATAATAAACGCACGTGCGTTTTGATCTGTACGCACAATGGTGTATGTATGTGAGTCATGCTAAGCAGCACGTCACCTCGGTAACAATTTCCCAGAGTGTCAAAACCCCCTCTATCTGACGAGGACGCGGACCGTTTAATTGATGACCTCGTCTATCTGAATGCACGTAATGGAATATGAATTGCGGATTACCTATACCGTTGTGCAAATGTCAGCGTATGCATAAAAAATGCCTCTACAGAGTGTGTGATATCGAAAAGAGAGAGCGAGAGGACAAGCAAAGACGAAAGGGCAAACGGCGCTCATTGTCCGTGCTTGTCCCGTTTGCATTTCGTCGCGTTTGTCTGCACGCAGTGACTAGTACGAAGTTTCTCGATGGTACGTCTGTGTAAAGCGTGCGAGCAGCCGGCATTGCTATGCGGGGCGACATCTTGCGGCAGTAGCGGGCACTGACGTGGTGTGCCCAGGAGCATGCGCGGCCTAATAGACGCGCTGACCTGCTTTTCTAAAATGATAACGTTGAAAGGTGCGCTTGCATGGAGGAAGATTCGAAAGGATGACCCGTTTCAACAGATCTTACGCGCCTGAGTAGGCACGTGTTATCTATTCAATCGCGTCATCTTCTGGAATCGAGACGCGGTATGTGCCATTGAGTGGCTTTGCATGGTCAGTTAACGTGACAAGCGCACCTTTCAACGTTACTACTAGAGCTGAACAGATCAACGTGTCTATCAGACGACCGCGTATGCGGTCGTGGACACAGACGTAAACTCGACCGCGTATGCTCTTCGGCACGCGATTCAGAGCCCGCAACCGCTCGCACTCGCTACACAAACGTAAACTCGGCTGCACGTCGATGGTACGTCTATGATCGGACTTCTTTCGTTACTGCGCGATGTTGTACTGTACGTGCGCATGTGTTTCGAAGCAGTGTTCGATGCTTTTCTCTGCGAGTATGCATACGCAGCGATTGATTCCCTGCTCCCGCAGGTGATGCTGGTGGGCGACTCCGGCGTGGGAAAGACGTGCCTGTTGATCCGCTACAAGGACGGCTCCTTCCTCAGCGGTGCCTACATCTCCACCGTCGGCATGGACTTCAGGGTCAGCCACACGTCGTCACAAAAATTGCCTTTTTTTTTTGTCTTTTAACAAGGTCGTTAATTTCGGTACTGAATTATCTTGTTAATGTGTGCATTTGACCGTGTTACGGGTCCGTAGCGAAACTGAATTTTAAATTATCGTCCGGGGTGGCTCAGTATGTCGCAGAGTTACTCTGGCGCATCTGTAATTACAGCTCAGTGAAAAATACAGGTAATTAATTAATCTGACAACGATGTAACCAATCGATAGATCAATCACGCAGTCATTTATGGACTTACACTATAGGATCATTTGATGATGTTGTTGTTGTAGGTTCACTCTATATAGTGACGCTGCGCAAACTGTGGAACACCGTGAAAGACAATGCGCTGACTAACAACTGATATTTCTACTTTGTGTGACACGTGTGACTTGTATGACATGTTTTAATGCATCGTTTTGTGTTAGTCCACACATCGCTTGATACTCGGCACATTCTTGTTCTGTTTTTTTTAAATGAGACAGAAAATAAACGGAGTTGTTGTCACTGTTATTTGGCGTCGGTTACCCCTTTCCCCTTGATACGCTCTGACACGTGCGTTCTCCCGGGTGCACGTTAAATATTGATTGATTGATTTGTGGGGTTTAACGTCCCAAAACCACCATATGATTATGAGAGACGCCGTAGTGGAGGACTCCGGAAATTTTGACCACCTGGGGTTCTTTAATGTGCACCCAAATCTGAGCACACGGGCCTACAACATTTCCGCCTCCATCGGAAATGCAGCCGCCGCAGCCGGGATACGAACCCGCGACCTGCGGGGGTGCACGTTAAAGAACCCCAAGTGGTCGAAATTTCCGGAGTCCTCCACTATGGCGTCTCTCATAATAGTATGGTGGTTTTGGGACGTTAAACCCCACATATCAATCATATAAATCGAACGTGTACTCTCCCGCCACAATGATCATTTACAATTCACAGCAGGTCGTGTGTTTGAGGGGAGGGGTCATTTTTTGGCGCCAAGGTTATTTATTGGGGGGCTCCCGCCACAAGTGAGTTTCCTCAGGGGAGCACGGAGGCAGGAGTCGTACGCGTTGTGCTTTGACTGTTTGCTTTTGGTGGGGCGAAGGGGAGGGGGCAGGTGAAAATTTACCCCCTCGCCCTATAACCCCCACTGAGGACGCGTATATATATATATATATATATATATATATATATATATATATATATATATATATATATATATATATATATATATATATATATATATATGTATATATAATGCCACGGAAGGTATAGGGGAAGTTATTAGGCCAATTGTAATGATGTAAATGAGAAGAAAGAAAAGTGGGTGAACAGATGACTTGCCGTGGGCCGGATCCGAACCTGCGACCTTCGAATAACGCGTTCGATGCTCTACCACTGAGCTTCCACGACAGCTATCCCCTCAGCCCCTTTATTGGGTATATATATCAATTTAAACGTGGCAGTGTCAGTCAGCGCCACTAGTAGCCATGGCGGCGAGTGTGGCGCACTCTTTATGAGCCCGTTTAGCGTCACGTAGCACGTGAACTTATTACGTGTGGGCAGCTGACCAGTAGTCCCTCGTATACAACCTAACGGCACCAAGTCTGCCAGTACGAGACCCTCGTACTGAAATAAACCATGTTGCGACGGATCTACTTGAGTATATATATATATATATATATATATATATATATATATATAAGTCAAGTAGATCCTCCAAGAGAACGGTAACAACGGAAGTGTTTAATTCGACAGTTTCGGCCAGAGTCTGGCCTTCATCAGGAGTCATATAGATGAAATAGATGATCACTGTTTCTTCCGGCTACCGTAAAAAAAGTTATAAACTTCGAGAATAGTGCAGTATAGGAAACAAAACAATAAAATATTTATTTAATCCTAACAGTTTCGGCTGGTGGACCAGCCTTCTTCGGAAGATGTAAGTGAAATGATACAAGTGAAATGATACAAGTTCACTTACATCCTCCGAAGAAGGCTGGTCCACCAGCCGAAACTGTTAGGATTAAATAAATATTTTATTGTTTTGTTTCCTATTCTGCACTATTCTTGAAGTTTATAATTATATATATATATATATATATATATATATATATATATATATATATATCAAGGCCACACGTACGAAGGACTTGCTTTAGCGTATAGATAAATAAGGTTTTCGATTACAGTGCGTGACGCTGTGTTTGTGCTGTCAGTGTTCTTTTATTTTGTTAGGCCCAAGTTCTCTCGATAAAGAGTTTTTTTCTTTACGATTCGGATTTCCGTATTTTTTTTTTTGCCGTCCTATGACGTGACGACAAAGCCGGTGCAGAACGTCCATCGCTTGTTCGGCGCTGCCAGTCGCGTCTTAATAATCAAAGCGAGAGCCTTATAGATGCATCTTCAAACATCATAATGGACTGCCGCCGTCGACAGGAAGAAGGCAAAGAAGAAAGAAAACTTCATTATGCGATGTCACTCCATGACGTCACAGTGGCGTCGCAGAAGCAAAATTTGTGACGCCATAGTGACGTCACTGTTGCGTGACGTAACGTGTCGTCGCATGATGACACGATCACATGTCGTCTTCGCTCGGTCATGTTTGAGCCGATCCCGGAGGCCATGCGAAACCACGCTACGCGCAGAAATATTTTGTAAAGAGAAGTGGAGGATCAATACTATTGATTTAGAAGAAAAAAATGACTTATTTTCTATTAGTCGTCTTGGGCGAATGTATGAACTATTTTACTTAAGACAAATCTTCCCCGTCATCTTTTGGATGTTACACCAATGTTTTCTTGTTTTTGTATCTCGTGATGCGAATCAATAAGGCCATACAACATCGCATGCATCAAGTCAACCGTTTTCATGTTTTCATGTGTATGCATCTACCGCAACACTGTCTCTTTAGTTGTTAAAGATGCATGATACAAAGGTTACCAGCCTAACACAGTGGCAGTGAAACCCCTCCGTGAGATAGTCTATAAGGGGTCCTGTGAGTTCAACCTACATACAAAAAAAAGGTTCTTTACACTTAATGCATCCTAATGAATGGGACAGAAGGAAGAACTTTGTATAAATCATTGCAGGTAACTTTTTATTGTGTTCTTCGGGAAAAACTTCGGTTTTACTCTCGCCATGCCTGTTCACCGAAACCATCTCATATGTCCCATTGTGTGCTTTTTTGGTTAGCTCCGTCTTAGTCGAACATCTCGGCGAAGAACTCGTAATGGTCGCTGATGGTTTTTACGGCGCAGTTTAGGAGGGAACGGCTGCGCTTTATGACACGGAGGAGCGGCTATATCCGGCAGCTAGGATAAGGGCAGACCCGAATTTTCATTTGGGTTTGCTTCGCCTTACATTACATGCGAACTGCGGCGAAGAACTCGAACTGGCACGCGTCAGCCAGGTAGACTAACGGCATTATTTCACCTTCCGTGGACAGCACTTTGCCTACATGACAAATTTGCTTTGTGTAGCTATATAGCTCGTGTAATAAGCGACATCAATATGAAGTAACAGACAGTGATGCAATGGAAAGGGGTGTCATTAGTGGCAATTGCAATGTAGAAGGGAAGAGAGTCACGTAAAAAAAAATATCGACATGGGGGTGCATCTTCAAGCCGACGATTGACAAGCGAATTTGTCTTCCTCAGGGTAGGCAGAAGTTCAGGGGGGAAGCTTTAGGTGGTGAAAGGTCCTTGAGAGACGGGGTGTGTCGGAAGGTCCACTCCAGCGACACCCCGTGCTCACGAACTTGAAGCCTTTAAGATTCCATCTTGCCCCGAACTTCTGGGAGATAAGTCATTGAGTATTTCACGTTGTGCAATACTGCAGCACTATGACAGTTGTTCATGTATTCGCCCGTGAGCTACTTCTTCAGCGTCTGCACTGGTGCGTTTTATTCGGCGGATCGCCATTGCTGCACACTCGTCATTTCAATTGCTGTAGCTTAGACTGACGAGAAAAAAAAAATTCTTTATTTTTATTTTATCGCGAAGCCACCAGTATAAATTCGCGCAGTGAAATATATTTTACGCGCTTCATTTTTCAACTGTATATAAAAAAAAACAAGACAGAAAACTAACTATAGAGTGCTTCGGTGGACAACCGTGACCGTGGAATGATGCGGTCCGGCCAATCCTCCGTGGCGGGCCAACTGTATCGCGAATGTTGGACGGTTCGAGGCCGAAGCTGACGTGAGTGATGCGCGCGGTATATCCGACCCGCTGGCCGCAAATGGACTGGCAACTGTGCCGACTCTGTATCCTTCCTATTCCTCGGTCTTTTCCTCGGGTCGTACGGCGAAGTCGTCCCTGTGGTAAAGTCGGGCTCGAGATTGCGTTTCTCCTTCGCCTCTGCAGAGTTCGTATCTTCACGTTCCACATTTTATCCGCGCATTATGGGGCTTTTTTTTTCTTTATCGTATACCTTAGCAGCGTGACGGACGGTCTTCGGATTCGGGGTGCGGCACCACCACCAGCGTGGCAACTTAGCGGTGAGCCGATTACCGCTGTGCGCTCGCTGTAGCAGCTCGGCCGAAACTCGATAATCGATACGCCGCTCGCCGATGTCGCACAGCGCCCCGCCGCGGTGGTCTAGTGGCTAAGCCACTCGGCTGCTGACCCGCAGGTCGCGGGATCGAATCCCGGCTACGGCGGCTGCATTTCCGATGGAGGCGGAAACGTTGTAAGCCCGTGTGCTCAGATTTGGGTGCACGTTAAAGAACCCCAGGTGGTCGAAATTTCCGAAGCCCTCCACTACGGCGTCTCTCATAATCATATATGGTGGTTTCGGGACGTTAAACCCCGCATATCAATCAATCATGTCGCACAGCGGACACAGTTGCGTGCGTGTATGTGACCCTGTTTATGTTTGTATGTGTGTTCGTGTGTGTTATTTTTTGTGTTTATGCGTGTGCGTGCGTGCGTTCGAACTTGTGTGTGTGTGTGTGTGTGTGTGTGTGTGTGTGTGTGTGTGTGTGTGTGTGTGTCTG